AAAAAAAGCAAATGTAGGTCAACTCCAAATATGTTGATGCTTTTGTTGAATGGGAGTAAGAAAGAAAGTGATGCCAAATTGCATGTATTTGTTGGTACTATTATGTATTGATCAGCCTGGCTGTACCCTGGTTCCAGAGGTTTAAAATAAACCTCTGGTTGAAAGCGGCAATTGTTTCATCGAGCCGCACCAATCAGTTTGAATTAGGGTCAGATCCTGACTCTGTCTAAAGATTGGATGAATGTATTCAAGCTCTCTGATTGGTTATATATGTTGTATTTGAATCAATCAGAGAGCTTTAATACAATCATCCAATCAGGAGACTGAGTCAGGATCTGACCCTAATTCAAACTGATTGGCGCGGCTCGATGAATCAATTGCCGCTTTCAACCAGAAGTTTATTTTTCCTCTCCCCTTCGCAATGAAATAACAAAAATAAACCTCTGTAACCAGGGTACCTGGCTGCGGCATTGACAGGAAACTCTTGATTGAAGGAAAATAATTCTCGACCTTTCGAGCAAAGGCCCTCCCTACTAATTCTCCATGACTAAAGGGCCTTTGCTCGAAACGTTGAGAACGATTTTTCTCTGTTATAGACTTGTGTGTTTCCTACAATTGAGAGTTTTTATTAATTACAATACAACAAGATGTGACACTCTCAAATTTATTAAAGAACCTAATATAATAGTTGAGAAAGTAGGTAAGTTGGTGCACGAGTTTGAAAAAGTAAATATATAAAAATATAGCCAAACTTACCAATTCCGATATTGCTCGCATCCGTTTTAGGAATTCGATCAACGCAATTGCATTATTCTTGGTGTGGACAGAAATACACACAGGAATTTGGTTGGATTGACCATTTAAGATGTTGGTGATGCGGTTGTATAGCACATGAAGGTTTAAGGCCACTTTCAGAATGTTCCTTTGAACTTTGTGGTTGCATCTCGAACTGTTCTTGATATTGCTCTCCTGGCTTGGAATTGCCTGGTCGACGTGCTTGATGTAAATTTCTTTCGTTTCGTTGGGAAGCGTGTATTCAATTCAGGAACCCAAGTTGTGTCGTGTATAAATATCTTCGAACACACCGTTGAGATTCTGGAGTGAACCGTATTCTTCTGTTAGCTTATTCCGGTTTTCTCCAACATCGCTAAGTGTTGCGCTATGACTTTCGGATTTGTAATATTGGAGAATTCGATCTGGAAAGCCGTTTTTCGCCGCGATTGCTACAGGCTATATGCTTTCTAAGAATTCTTTAGCAGTACACAAGGCCAGAAACGAACAGCGCGCTTCGGGGACGCCACTCCTCTTTCATTTCGTACATTTTAGGATGAACCAAGAGTCGCCGTCGTACAGCTTACACATTCGGCTCATTTCAAGTTGCCCTTTTCGTCCCTTCTGTGAAACCGTCCGTCGAAGAAATTCGGTCGCTTTGTCGATACAGAGCATGGGAACAGCATCATCATTGCTTACAAAGAAATTAAACAAACCATTTTCTGTTGGTTCGTCAGTGCACATTATTTTGTTAATAACCTTCGTTTCATGAGGCTCCGTTAATGGTAAAGGACAGCCATGGCGTGCAGTAAGGGATTTACCAATTCCTGACTGCCCGATCACAATCGTATGGAGATTAGCTTTCTCTTCGAAAGGATCGTTATCGTATACTCTGATGGTAGAGTTACCCAAAAGAGAACTTGTTGTTGTCATCATCACCATGAGTAAAACTTCCTTGGCTGTTCGGTGACAAATGCTGTAGCAATGTAACCACTGCATTATTTCTTCCGTGCAAACGTCCGTCTAAGGAAACGGATTTGCCCCTAGCTCTCTTTCAATATCGTCTAAGTTATTTACCGTCAATAACTCCTGATCGATCTCTGCTATGCTTGCAACTTCACAGCAACAATCAAATTCCGGCCTACCTGATGACAAATACATACATATTGTTTTGGAAACTGTCGCTCACATACCGGAAACGCGGCAAAGCTGTAAACATGTCACCGGAAACACTGCAAGGTTGCACATATGCCACACAATCATCCTCATAGACGCTGACTACGTTCTTTTAGTTTGAAACTAACGAAAATTGCTTGCTAATCTAACGCTGTTACGCAAATATTTCTGGTCGTTAAATTTGTAGTTTAGCGATATTTTCCTTTAATAGCAGTGTCAGTGTTGTGTTGAAACCTTCGAACACATGTAATTAGATCTGTTTAAATAAATTAATTTAACGGACCACCAGTCTGGATTTTGTTTATCGCAAGAAAGCAACAGACGTTCACATAAAAAGCTTTATTTTGAATAATACTATTTATCGCTTAAACATCCCTTGCACCACAATAGTAGCCACAGATGACGAATTGTTTATATAATGCTGGATGCGCCGTACGCGCAAGTTTGATTTTTGTTCTGGCGGCTTGAATGGCAAATGATCTAAATGATCCACAAAAGGCAAATGATCCAAATGATCCACAAAAAGCAAATGATCCAAATGAACTACAAAAAACAAATGATCCACAAAAAGCAAACGATCCAAATTATCTACAAAAACAAATGATCAAAATGATCTACAAAAAGGAAACGATCCAAATGATATACAAAAAAGAATTGATCCAAATGCACCTGCCAAAAAGCCTGAAAATCCAAAAGAAATACAGTAGGTAGCTAAAACTATAATTTAAAAACCAAAGAACAAGACGAAATGATATAACTCTATTATCTCCTATTGGTGTGACGTCACTCTTGACTTGGTATATCGCGCATAAACCCATTTTTCACGCAAGAAAAGGCACTTTGCTCCCGGAAAAAGGGCACTTGGCAAAACTTGGGGGGCTCTGGCCCCTCGGGTCCTACGCCCCTGACAGCCGATAAAATTGCGTTGTACGAAGCCCGTATGAAGCTTTATCTAACTTGTATGAAGCTTTATCTAACTTGTGAATTCCACTAAGCTTTTGCAACAAAGTTTGCTCGTCCATTCGTTGCTGCAATTCTATATCATACTTTTCATTTTCACATCGTACTGAATTTCTCATTCACTTAAATTCACTTGCGGATATTTCTTTCGCAAGATTTTTTGCTTCTTTATGCGAAGAGTCGAAGGCAATAGCAAAAAGCACAGTTAATAGAAGGGGGATGGTTAGGCTAACCGGCAAACTTCAAAGGCCTCAGAAATTTATGTCGGGAACCAATTTTATTTTTGTCACATGATAAATAAGCGGTATGCCAGGAGTGAAAAACAATATGGCGATATAGTGAAATTTGCTACATTCCAACTTTTCGTTCGAAAATATAGATCATTTCACACAGTGAAGGCAAGATAAACAAAGGCTATGGCGGGGATCGATCAAGAAGCTGACATTGGCGACATTCAGGACTTTCCCGAGGATATCACCGAAGAAGATACAGGCGCGGAGTCAAACGAGGATTTCAATATAAATGTATCGCTCGCGATCTTAGACACAGAAACGGACGAACTCGACGCTGAGTTTCTCAAAGCCGTAATAGAAATTGAAGGCAAGAAGTCGTTTCCTTGCTCGTATTGCACTAAAGTTTGTAAGTCGAAAGGTGGCTTAACAAAACACACGAATTCCAAACACCACGAAGCAAATGTCAATGTGCCAACCGAATCGGACAAAGTTACAGAAGTCAATCTTTTTTCATTAAAAAATCTAGCTGGCATTGTCGAGGCAATCGAAGTTCGTTTGATCGCTGAAGACTTGTATGATCCTGAGATAAATAACGCCGTTAAAAATGCCTCTTGCAACAAAGCTTTTTTTGATGCTGTACTGCCGTTGTATGATAAATTTTGTCGCAAAAAGAAAACAAGACTACAAATTACTTGAAGCATCCTATGGATTGATCTCTAATTCGAGACAATATTTAAATTGTCCAGATTCTAACGCTGCGAATTTAATTATGATAGAGATACCAGAATATTCCCTTGTAGAATCCGACATATTTATAACCTATTTTATACCTATTGTTTCCCTATTTAGCCTTATTTTTTCCGTATTTTTTCAAAAATATGTCTATTTTATTACTATTTATCAAATTTCATAAAATAGTATATGACTATTTACTCCCTATTTAAAATATAGGTTATATATATTTTTCAAAAAAATAGCTTTGAAATAGATATTCAAATCCTAATTGAAAGAGTAATTGACGGAATCTCACTATAAAATAGCTTTTAAATAGCTATTTAATTCCTATTGATAACAAACGAGTCAGTTGGAATAGTTTAAATAGCTATTTTTAAACTATTTTTGCATATCTTCTTTGGAGCCATTCTTAACATAGTTATTAAATAGCGAAATAAATAGGTCTTAAATAGCTATTTGATTCCTATTCATAGAAAATTGTGGCGAACTTTGTTCAAAATAGCTATAAAATAGCTATTTTTAAACTATGTTTGCTTTTATTTTTGGAGATATTATTGAGTATTGTTAAAATAGTTATTAAATAGGAAAATAAATAGATCTTAAATAGCTATTTAATTCCTATTCATAGAAAGTTGTGGCGAACTTTGTTCCAAATAGTTATTAAATAGCTATTTTTAAACTATGTTTTCTTTTATTTTTTAATTTTTAGAGCCATTCTTAGAATAGTTATTAAATAGCAAAATAAATAGATCTTAAATAGCTATTTAATTCCTATTCATAGACAGTTTGGTCAAAATGGCTATTAAATAGCTATTTTTACACTATGTTTACTTTTATTTTTAGAGCACATTGTTAAAATAGCTAATAAATAGCACAGTGCCTTTTTTAAGGAATTTTTACTAGGGAGGGGGGGGGGGGCAAAACAGGAAAAAAGGCAGAACGAAAAATATGACCCATCGAAGTTTGGCGAACACGCGAGTCTGAAGAGAGATTTTGTAAAACTTGAATTTATTAACTTCTCCTATATAGACAATAACTTCAACCCTTTGTAGCTATAATCGTACAGCTATAACCAGTGGCGTAGCCAGACCTTAATTTTTTTTTTTTGGGGGGGGGGTCGAACAGTCTAGGAGGGTCCGGGGCATGCACCCCGGGGGAAATTTTCAAATCTAGGGTCCTTGAATTCAAGCGATTTCAAGCATTTTGGGAGTGAAATTCCGAAGAGTTCCGAAGATTATAAAGTACATCGAAGACATGAATTTTTCCAGACATTTCTACTCGGAATTAAATAAATTGGAAAAGTCACCTTGAGGAGACTAGGAGGAGGGGTCAGTGTCACCTTATTTCCTCTCTATGATGCTGGGGGGGGGGGATCTCTATGTGATTTTTATCAGAAATGTTGCATTTAAATCATTTTCGGTTCTATGAGACACCATTTCCGCATTCTCAAAATTGCGTTGCTTTTTCATACGATTCAGAATATAAATCTGAGAAGAAAAATTCGTGCTATGATGATGAATACATGTATTTAACAGTAAAAAATCTAAACTAAATCTATTCTTCTTGGAATTGGAACCAGCATTTTATCGGATTGTTTGCATGAAATCTATCGCTATTATGAAATACTCGGTGAAGAACAATATGAATTACACACAAGATAGCTGTGGAGGAGGCTATGGAAGGGCATAATCTCATTATCAACAGGGTCGCCCAGAGGGGAGGGGGGGGGCAAAGGGGGCAAATTGCCCCGGGGCCCGAGTTGCTGGGGGCCCCTGAAAAATTTTTGTTGCTTTTTTTGCTGCGACAATATTTGAATTAAAACAACATTAGTTTTATAGAATGGCTTACATTTGACTCAGCCTTTATATTTATAAATGATGTTTATTGTAATTCCAAATAGTATACTTTGATCTATGTGTATACTATAGTGTATATGACAGATTGGCAGATTCCAGTGTTTGTTGTATAAAATAATATAGCTTGACATGATGGCATCTACTCAATTCTCATATGCCTACCCAGATATGTCCCAGCTAAACATGGTTTGAGAAAATTTATCGACTGGTTTCAAATTAACTGGTACTTTCATAAGTTTCCAATATTTATTCATCTATAGGTGGGTGAGTTTAGGATAGATAAAAATATCAATTTGATGTGTTGTTGTCATATGTGGCAACTTGATTATAGATGTGTCCCTAACTGAAAACAGTTAAAGTCCTTAGTTTGCTAGTTCAAACTTATGAATACATTTAGTTAATACACCACATGTTCTGCTTAATAATATATGTAACATCCTTTGGGCTACATTTTATATATTTTAGAGACACCCCGGCAAGGGTTTGATTGTTTTTGGAATTACCCATTTCACTCCAATGAACCCAATATTCAGCACTTTGTTATTAAATGTTATCTTGCCTAATAATTTTATTCATCAAGGGAAGTGTCTAGCTAGCGTACTAGACTCTGCCCATGTTTCATGTTGACATCAAACACTTCCTACTTAAGTACTTTGATATTATTATTTAATTATTATTTAACTCTGCCATTTCATGCTAGACAATTTTACTTACCGACTGTGGCATGCTCGCCCATATCTCACCTAAATATTAACAGCTATAAAGGAGCAATTTGCTCTTACCTTACCTTACTTACTTGAAGAATGAAGTTCTTTGTAGGGTGTGCAGGATAGAATGTTTTTGCTATGCAGCTCCATACAGGGTATATGTTGGATAGTTGAAAAATATTCCAGCTAGATTCAGTGTATTATTCAAATATATAAATGTTTTTTCTAACCTGTAAAGAAGGCCTGAACTAGCTACAGCTGAGCTTTGCCCTATT